AATTATAGATAGACATGCACCCCTACGTACTTTTAGAGTAAAGGGACGAGACAACCCTTGGTTTTCTGCTGAAATGTCCAGTCTCCTACATGAGAGAAACAAGGCCTGGGCAAAGGCTAGGAAATCAGGCTCAGAGGTAGAATGGCTGCGTTTTAGGCAGCTAAGAAATAGCTTCACTTCACATGTCAAAAGTGCTAAGTCGAAGTACTATTTGTCAGTTACCACAGAAAACCTAAATAATCCTAGGAAATTTTGGAAAGCCATAAAATCGCTATCCACCGGTGAGATCCGAAATGAGCTACCTCCGTGCATTACCACAACATCTGGCTCTATATCGGACAGGGCTACTATGTTAAATTGTTTTAATGAGCATTTTGTGTCCTGCGGTTCTATGTTTGATTCTGTGACTAATTCTGCTTCTGTGAACACCACAGTCTGTGACTCTGAACCATGTGGTCTGGAAAACACTTTCAGTTTTACTCCTTTTACTGTAAATGTTGTTCATGAAGCTTTAACCAAGTTAGATCCTAAGAAACCGGCTGGCCCGGACAACGTAGAACCTTTCTTTTTAAAGATAGCTGCAGATTTTATTGCTCCACCTCTCACTACTCTTTTTAACCTCTCCCTCAGCACAAACACAATTCCTAAAGTATGGAAGTCAGCGTATGTCCTGCCTTTGCTGAAAGGAGGGGAGGCAACTGTTTTAAATAACTATAGGCCAATCTCTAAATTATCAGTTCTGGCTAAGGTGCTTGAACGCCTAGTGAGTGAGCAGGTAAAGGAGTTTTTATGTAACAATGACATCCTGTCTAAACATCAGTCAGGTTTCAGAAAGCAACATAGCACCATCACTGCCACAATGAAAGTGGTGAATGACATTACAAGTATTTTAGATAATAAGCAGAGCTGTGCAGCTCTATTTATTGACCTTTCCAAAGCGTTTGATACCGTCGATCATCACATCTTAAAGCAGAGGCTACTCAGTATTGGCTTATCCAGCCATGCAGTGGGTGGTTTGTGAACTACCTCTCTGAAAGGTCCCAATGTGTTCACTTTGATGGGCTGTCTTCTGAGTGGTTGAACATTGCTAATGGTGTTCCTCAAGGTTCTGTTTTAGGTCCACTTTTATTCTCCATCTACATCAATAGTTTAGGTGAAAATGTGGATGAAGCTACTTTGCATTTTTATGCGGATGACACCGTGATGTACTGTGCAGGTCCCTCCATTAAGGAGGCGGTTGTTAAATTACAGGCTGTTTTTAACATTATTCAGACTCAGCTCTCTGAACTAAAGCTTCTTTTAAATGTTGAGAAAACCAAGGTAATGCTCTTTTCTAAAGCTAAAAAGACTCCAGAGACTGCTTTGGATATTGTGACTATGCAAGGACAAGTACTCCAAGTGGTTAGCTGTTATAAATACCTTGGTATCTGGCTTGATGATTGTCTTACTTTTAAACTTCAGGTCACTAATCTGCTTAAAAAGCTGAGGGTTAGACTAGGTTTCTTTTTCAGAAACAAGTCCTGTTTCTCTTTTGAAGCCAGGAAAAGGCTAGTCACTGTGACCTTTTTACCTGTGCTAGACTATGGTGATTTGATCTATATGAATGCACCTGCCCATTGCCTGGAAAGGTTAGATGCCGCCTATCACAGTGCTCTGAGATTTGTTACTAACTGTAAAGTACTTACTCATCACTGTGCCCTGTATGCCAAGGCAGGTCTGCCTTCACTTACTGGTCGGAGGCTCAGTCATTGGTACATATTCATATATAAAGCCATGCTGGGTAAACTACCGACTTATATATGCTCTTTGATCTCACGGAGAGTGGCAAGTAGCTATTGCCTGAGATCACAGGATGTGTTTTTATTACATGTGCCAAGTGCTAGGACTGTTTTAGGTGCTAAAGCTTTTATGTGCGCTGCTCCTCTAGCTTGGAACACCATGCAAAAAATATTGAAACTGAGCATTTTGATTCCCTTGCATCGTTTTAAAGCACGGCTGGATGACATGTTATTGGATACCTGTAAATGTAAATAGGTTGCTAATGTATACCCCTGTAATTATGTTGTGATGTCCTTTTTGTTTTCTGTTTGTTTTTATATGTGTAACTAATGTACCGCAGGTCTCCCTTGTAAAAGAGATCGTTGATCTCAATGGGATTTTTAACCTGGATAAATAAAGGCTACAAACAAACAAACAAAGCCAACTCAAAAGCCCCACAAAATGATATTATTTAGGATAACATATGCCTGTTTTTATCCACCTCCTCATTGTGTCTCACCGCAGTCCTGAGGGCGTCGTCCAGCTGTGTAGCAGTTGCTGATCTAGGGCGATACAATAACTGCCCCTCCGGTTGTAGTATTGAGGACGCTGATTGGCTACATTTTATGACGTTCATATCATGAAACAGCGATTGGCTAACCTGCTCCAGAGACCCTCCTCCGTGGGGTGATTTCTCCATCGCCCCAGCAAAGTACTTCAGTCATAGAGTGAACAGGAAAAGCATATATTTTGCGCAAATTATTTTAAAATCATGTTTTACACAAATTTCTGGGTGCATTCCATATTTTAAACTCACAAATATTGACAATTTATATAATTAAGTATTATTATTATTATTATTATTATTATTATTATTATTCAATCAATCAATGTTTATTTATATAGCCCAATATCACAAATGTTACATTTGTCTCAGTGGACTTCACAGTTTGTACAGAATATCAGTATGACAATACGACACCCTCTGTCCTTAGACCCTCACATCGTACAAGGAAACACTTCCAAAGGACTGTCCAGTAGTCTGGCTCTCCCTTTCCTCGGATCATTTTGAATGAGGGACAGATGGCTCCTCTCTGTCAGCACCTATTCCAATCACCATCCCTTATTATTAATAATAATGTTTTTGTGTGTGGTTTAGGGAGGGCGCCGCCCTATCGCCCCCTATGGGCCAGACGCCACTGGATATATCACCTTTATGGTGTCTCCACATTCACTGAGTGTGTGTATAGGCAGGATCGGATCTAGACAAATATTCATGGGGTGGCAGGAGATTTTGAGGGGTGGCATCCCCTGGCAGAAGTATATGCTGATTTAATCGCAGTATTATCAATCAATGTTAACTTGGAAAGCCACAATATTAATATTTTAATTCAATAACATAGGTGACATTATTGTGGCACAACATAATTTAATGCATTTTAAATGAACAATAACTGAATGAGTTTGTTTCACTCTTAGACCAGCAGGGGAACCAAATCTATGCAGACTGCTGCAATAAGTACATTATTAACTGTCTCATCGATGTTTGTCTAAATGAATATGATACTATTAACAATCATATTATTCCTATCAGCTGTCAATCACTGTTATGATTCACATATTCAGTGTTATTATTAAATAAACTATATTTTTTGGAGGAGTTAATGATGAATGTTCCTCAAGATGCTTGCTCACCCTCCTTCAAATTTGAAAGATAAGTAATTACGATCATATATCAAAAGAATCAAAGGAACAGTTCAGCGCCCCACGACTTTACTGCAAACAGTTACAACCTGGACTTTACATCAGAAAGAACAAACATTAAAGAAGTGACTAACTGCATCAGTTAGGGTGAAAAAACATGTATTCAGCTAAAACATATACATCGCTGCAGTTATTATCCAGTGGAAAGCCCTTACCTGCTGGCCTAGTTAAATCAAAGTGGTTACTTTGTTTTGGCTGGGCAGTGAAGTTTTACACACCGTCTTATTTGACTTTCTCAGGACTCAAAACAGTTTTTTGGGGGCAGACCCCCACACAGTAAAAAATATATTTACACACATACAAGGTCATCATCTTAAAGGTGGGGTAGGTAAGTTTGAGAAACCGGCTCGAGATACACTTTTTTTATATTCCATGGAATGCTCTTAACATCCCGATAGCAATGAATATCTTAAAGTGGACCTATCATGCTATATTTGAATAATATAGTGTAGGACCATACCTATATAAGGCATATTTATACTTTTTTTTTTTCAAAATACCAAACAGATCATGCATTTTAGCCATGCCTCATTTCGCTCAATTTGAAAAATGTTAGCTCTGTTTTAGCAAGGTCTGATTCAGTGAGAACAGCACCATCTACTGGCCTGGCATATGTACTACAGCGTCTCCAGGGCTTTCGAACGTCAATGGCCGTGGCTGTCTCCTCCTGATTGGTGGAGTTGGCCCAATAGCTGTAGCGCCACCGTCCTGACGTCAGGACAGTGTTCAAATCTGGATCAGTTTTGATCAGATCCGTTGCAGCCCCTTTTTTAGAGATTTGGGTATGGAGGAAAATAGAGAGGGTTGTGTTTTCTGACACTTGGTGAGTTCCCTGGAACACCGGGGACACATATTCATGTAGAAAAGACGTACTAAAGTGCATTTTGCATGATAGGTCCACTTTAAGTCTTATCTTGCCACCCCATGAATATTTTTCTAGATCCGCCCCTGTTCCACGGTGATCAGTCCTGTTGTTTATTATCATTTGATGTCTTGTGTTTTTGACAGTTTTACTGATAGTGTTTCAGCGTGAATATCAAAGGATGTAGGTCACAAATCGTTGTAGAACAATGCATTTCATCAAAAATGTTCACTAAAACTTCATCCAAAAATAATTTGTCTATAAATAAATACTTGACTCGCAATGTCCAACTTGGCCAATCAAAATAAAAAACAAAAATTGCATTTTTGTTTATATCACTCAATATGGTTTATCTTATTTGAAGTTTATGTACTTGAAAGGCCTAAAACACATTTTTTTTAACAAAGCCTTTTGCTAGAACTTGAACCATCCTCTTGTTGCCCTGTCTACTTAATGTTTAAAATGTTTGTATTCAGAAGTTTACTCTGCAGCACTTTGAGTTTTGTTTATTAAAATGAAAAGTGTGATTATAAATAACATTGATTTTGTTATTGGTGTAGGATCCATAGTTACAATTTTCTTGACTTTAACCTGGAAAAAAATCCTAATAAAAGAACAGATCTGTGTCTCCAGGCGTCCGCAGAGAGGAAGGAGATCAGTCAATACTGTGCGTCTGTGGAAACTCTTCATCACAGCTTCACTAGGATGCTAATGAGATCACGTCAACTGTCAGAGTGAACATTTGTAAATTAGTGCTGAGCTTTATTTCATTGGATGATCAGTTACCACCATCTAGTGGACAGCTAGTAGAACTACACCATATCTCAAGTTGACTGGTTTCTTGTGCTTGTTGGACAGGTTTCTTGTGACTCATGTGTTTTGATGCTCTGAAGTTATGAGGGAGTGACGGCGTCCTCAGATCAGATGCAGGCAGACACAGGACTGATGAGGATGAGATGAGCAGAGATACATGAAGCATGAAGGTGTTTCAATTGACCTGAAGGACATTCAGAAGGTAAGAATATGATTTAAATGCTTTTTGGAAATCTGGGATTATACATTTGGGGATAAATATAATAAAGACGTCACCCTGCCTTAGCATGGAGCTTTGTTTCCTGAAACTCAGTTCATCAGGACAGAATCCTACCAGAGGAATCTGAAGAGGTTTGATCATCAGGATCACTCTTATCACATTGTGATGTATCACTGTTTAACTGAACAGAACAAATGTTTCTTGCTGCTAAATATCTATTCTAAAGTATTGTGGAGAATGTTTTTCAAGAAAGACTTCCTTGTAAAGGTGAATTGTTTTGGCAGCAGTTTGATTGTAATCTGAGTAAGCATCCCTAGTGCTGGGAGGAAATGTAAAACCGGACTGACGGCTCGGATCAACGTGACTGACGTGTTTTTATTTATTTATCTCTGAAGCGTACACACACCAGGCAGGTTATAAAACATCCTTTGAGGTCTCTTCACAGTCACTGTGGGTAGAGGGTCTTCATGTCTCGTCTTTAGTGCATACAGAGACGCTCCAGTGGAGTCTCATGTCAGCTGGACTTTGTATCTGAAATCCTCTCCTAACCAAGTCAGTTCATTGTGGGTGCACTTTAACACATTGTCACAACCTAACACCTATATGCTCAACATACTGTTTTTCTGGGTGAATCTGGGGGCTGTGCAGCACGTGTTGGGGTCCCTGCATCCTGTCCAGGACTCCAGAATACCAGGATGTTCAACTGCAGCTGGTTGCATTGTGTAGTTTGTAAACCAGCATGCTTTTCTGGCTATTCTGACCCACAATCCTTTGCAGTGGATAAAAAAGTGGGTAGTATGTCCCAATTGAATGCCTATTGCATGCAAGAGAACAAACTTTGTAACTGCAGTGGCAGAACTTATGAAGAGGAAAAATAAAAAGTATATCATCTCTCAACCCTAACCCTAACCCTAACCCTAACCCTAACCTCCACAGCAGATATGCCGCTCGTCCATTGACTTCTCTCATTCTTGATATTGCTGATAAACACACTTCATTGTAAATCTCCATAGATAAATACATTGTGTTTGATTTAGTATAAGCTCACACAGACTCCCTTCTTGTTCATTCCCAGATCCAGTGTGTGACAGAGAGGAAGGAGCAGTAATGAGCATGTTGTTGTGTTTGTGTTTAGGTACGACACCACAACAGATCCACCAGGAATCTACAGAGGACGTTTGAACCTGCCAACCTGCAAGATGGAAACCACTGATCCAAAGTTATTATTTATCTTATCAGTATTAACATATTCAAAAGTCAGCTTCATGTTCAGCAGAGTTTCAGTGCACCTTTGCATTTATCATGTTTTTGATTCTATCAGGATCCCCCATGAGAGACCAGACTCTCCTGGACCTGGACCCAGCTGTGATTCCATGAAGAGTGAAGCCTCTATACCTCTATTTATTACGTTTAAAGATGGAGAGCATAGTGATGGACCAGGGTATGAATTAAAGTTATTTTTGTTCTTCACTTTTAAAACCATTGAATTTCTCCATCATTCTCGGCTGCATTTTATTTCCTTCACATTGTAAAGGAGTTCTTGAAGCAAAGAACTGAACCACAAGGAGAACACAGCAGAGCTTCAAACTGATGTCAGACACTGAAGATTTATTGCACTTCCGACAGTCTGACACAATCACCACATTCAAAACTGTCCTGTTCGGATCAGATGTCTCTCTGTATGTCCGGTTTGAAGGAGGATCTTCAATCTTCACAGCACATGTAACTCTTAGTTTCTGTATTTGTTTTAAAATCCTCCACAGAGTTCATCAGCAGAGATCACAGAGTCCCGGAGGTCAGTCTGCCCAGCAGCATCAAACTGACCTGGACTCCATATTTATGGTGAGTGAATGCACGGCTACTCCTGCTGACTACAACAGCCACAAACTCAGTACTGAATTGTGATCAATACACTCAACACGGAGCTGCGGTCCTTTTTACTCAACGGTCCAGACATCAAACAGCAAAACATATTCAGTTGCCAGTTCCTTTGGCATCAGGGCAGGGATATCTAGATACTTTCCAAGGTTTTACATCATGAATTGTGCTACTTTTAAAGCAAGCAACGATGTTTTTAAATCTATAATCAAAAAGCTCCTCAAAAACGCAACCTGGTATCACGGCAAGACGTGAACATAGTCACACTTGATTTCGCCGATTTTCTTGTTGCCCCAGCTGGTCGACACCTCTTTTAGCAGAAACAAAGGCTACATTCATGTATTAAATCGATGTTAATTCATGTGGGTGGATGTGGAATTAACGGACGTGACATTGTGCGATTGCGTTGCCAGGCAACAGCTTCGGTTCATGTTAATTTACAAACTCTTCAACTACAACCATAGTTATATTTAAAAACATGTTAGAAGGCCTCACGAAATACTTTAATGTAAATTAAAATGTAAATGTGAAGGAATGTGTGTATAACAAAATACATCCGTCATAAACGATACCGGAAACAGACGTAGGCAAGATCCTCAGCTCGCTGATTGGATGGTTTAGCCGCAATGCACGCTGGGATATGGTGTTTATGCGATGTGAAATCCGAAAACATTTAAAAAAAATAAAATAATACTTTATTCCGAGTGTGCTTGCTTTTCTCTTTGGAAGTCATCACATAACGGCATTGTAATACACGGTTCGGCTGCATTAAATATTACATATCTGCCGTAGTTCTTTATTTATAGAGCCCTGATGAGAACACTTCTAGACAAACAGGAAGCACTGCCACCAAAACTGAAAACTTGACGTGGATCTTAAATATATAAGCAATTAAACAACATCTTACATTTCTTTTCACACAATACGTCTCCTTGCAGTATCAACACTAATTCGGCTGACTTTTATATTTGTATTATTAGATATTAATAGGATCCCTATAAAGTATATTCTTTACTCGTCGTTATTCTCTACTAATAGTTAATTAAAGACTGTATATAATGAATATTCAAGATTTTCTAAGGTTTATTGACATATCATATTATACACAACTACGGTGTAGTTATGCAATGAATGAATAACTTGGGTTGCAGGTTCCTCAACAGTGCATTACAAGACATCTATCAATATGTGTGTACCTCCACCATTACATTGTCATATTCTGCACATTTCTTATACTATCTACATACATCTTATAAGAGTATAATACATGTGTATAATATCAGTTAAAATACGTGCTTAAACATAGTTAACATTGCAGGAAAGCAATATATTAGACGGTAAGTACTTTGTCAGGCTTAATATTTATCTGTAGATACAAATGTCACTGTGTGTGCTGTGTGCTCTGCATGTGTGACCATCAAAGAGGGTTTCATCGCTCCATATTCATCTTCTATACCCCCAAAGCTTTTTTCTTATTCAGAAGAAGACCTTAACCTAAAGTATTCTTTAATGTTTAAATAAAGCCTTATTAGTTTGTCTGTTTTGCACATCCTCCTATTAATATCTAATAATAAAATTATAAAATGCAATAACGTGCTTTAACCAGTAGGTGTCCCTTTCTATCAGCTGTGCACCGTTATGGTGTAAATACAGCCTATCTACCAATTGGATCAAATATAAAAGTCAGCCGAATTAGTGTTGATACTGCAAGGAGACGTATTGTGTGAAAAGAAATGTAAGATGTTGTTTAATTGCTTATATATTTAAGATCCACGTCAAGTTTTCAGTTTTGGCGGCAGTTCCTGTTTGTCTAGAAGTGTTCTCATCAGGGCTCTATACATAGAGTTAACTACGGCAGATATGTCATATTTAATGCAGCCAAAACGTGTATTACAATGCCGTTATGTGATGACTTTCAAAGAGAAAAGCAAGCACACTCGGAATAAAGTATTATTTAATTGTTTTTAAATGTTTTCGGATTTCACATCGCATAAACACCATATCCGAGCGTGCATTGCAGCTAAACCATCCAATCACCGAGCTGAGGATCTTGCCTACGTCTGTTTCCGGTATCGTTTATGACGGATGTATTTTGTTATACACACATTCCTTCACATTTACATTTTAATTTACATTAAAGTATTTCGTGAGGCCTTCTAAAATGTTTTTAAATATAACTATGGTTGTAGTTGAAGAGTTTGTAAATTAACATGAACCGAAGCTGTTGCCTGGCAACGCAATCGCACAACGTCACGTCCGTCGACCAGCTGGGGCAACAAGAAAATCGGCGAAATCGAGTGTGACTATTAAAAAATAAATCATTATTATATTAATATTGACAATAACAACCGACCGTCGGGGTAGCATTTGCTTGGCATTTCCGGGTATTTCTCCACTGGTTAACATGGGTTAACAATACCGTGTAACTGTCACGTTTGAAGGGACGAAATCGTGACATCTTCACGTCTCCCAATATTGTAAATCGTCACATGTTTACGTCTTGCTGTGATACCGGGTTGCAAAAACGCTACCGAAGCAGTTCCTGCTGTTGCTACGTAGTTTAAACAGTAACAAAGGACTATTTTTCTTCGAGGATCAAGAAAGAGAAAGCAAAAGAGGTTAAAAGGCGGAGTGCTGGACGTCAGATAAATCCCCAGAAGAAGGCAGAAAGGAAGTAAACACTAACAGGAACATGGTATGAGCTCTGCAGAGTTTAAGGACTTGTTAGTGGATCAGAAACTGTGAACAGAGTTGGACAGTGCTGCCGTAAAGTTGTTGTCGCAGTTCCAGCCGTTGGTGCGCCGTGGAACAGAGTTTTTTTTTGATCTGGTAGGAAAGTACAACACATCTTAGTTCAAACATAATATTCATATTTCAAATTATATTCCAGCAAAGCAGTTATCTTTTTACATAATTATATGTAGTGTAGGGATAAAGTAACCAAATGCAGTGTAAACGGTACAGAAAATAGGGAGATAAACTACTCAAGCTGCTATGAACATACAAAGGAGAGGAAAACTTACTGATTATTTACTCAGACAAACGATTGGTTCTCAAGAGTCGCATGAGGCAGCTTCTTTGTTCACGGGGGAGAGGGTTTGCCACACCTTTGCCACAGGTGAGCTGGCTGCCTTTATATATTAGCTAGCTCCGCCCCTCCAGGGTGGCAGGAGGAGGGAGGTTGGAGTGGGAGAGGGAATTCCCCAATGTGCGTGTTCTCAGCGTAATACGGTAGTGTAATTAAGGAAGTATCTGATTTGAGAGACAGGGCCATCTCCATGCTGCAGTCTGCACACATGATCTGTGGCTCCCTCCAGTTAGAGACACAAGGAACAGCTGGCATTTATAACATTAGTATGCTAACACACACACACACACACACACACACACACACACACACACACACACACACACACACACACCATTCACAGTATAACCATATAAATTAAGAGGAAATTATATAAATATACCTTGGATGCTGCTCACCTCTGAGAGGCGCTAAATCCTCAATACTGCCTTGAGAGCTTTTATTTTAACACATTTCTCCGGCATCTCAAATATCTATTTCACCAATGAATTATGTCATGTGAATGCTCACTGCAGATTAGTTACACCTCTTTTGTTAAATTGAATAAAATTGTGCAAATACAGAAGTGCCATGTTGAAAAATAACAGTTCATTCAACAATCATTAAGGATCACGTCTTTATTATGAATTGTGTAAGAGCCACACACATCAGCATGTGAGTATGTGTGTTCATGCTGGATTATATTATTACATTACCAGGCATTGTATTTTTTTCCCTGTGAAGACAATGCAAACATTAAGTTGCTGAACACTTGAGAGAACATATTTTCTACGGGTAGGAACAAACGTCAGTGTAGCTGTAAAACATGAACTGCAAATGTAAGGCAGGTGCACGATCTGATGTTGACTTCCAGTCAAAGTTTACATTTTTTTCTGTTCCAGCTGCTGGAGGAGAACATTGGTACTTTTGTGAAGGACGAGCTGAAGAAGATCCGGACAGTCCTGACTTCAGATTACCCAGAATGCTTAGAGAGTCAGAGGGAGGATGAGGAGGTGTTGGATGGTGAGGATGAAGAGCAGAGGAGGAGCAGCAGAGAGGCATTTCTGAACATCTCACTGCACTTCCTGAGGAGCATGAAGCAGGAGGAGCTGGCTGAGCGTCTGCAGAGCAGTAAGAGGATTTAACACATTTAACACGATGGAGAGGAGATGGAGGAGAGATGGGAGGAGGTTCACTTTATAAAACATTGTCTTTAATCAGTGAATACGCTTACTGGTTAGTACTGGTACTAAAACATTAGTGAAGGAAGTAACAATAAGGAGATCAAAACTTTGCACTGTAAATATTTTTGTTCTGGGTATATTACTAATAAACGGAGCTGAACAGTTAACTATGATGATATGAAACTTGTGAACGTTAATGTTCGTGATAAATCTCGAAACCTTAACGAGCTAAAAAAGTAGCGCAAATGAATCACTTCAATAAACTTTATGTATTTTGTTGACCCTGATTGTACCATGAATTGCAGTTAAAAGGCACAGAAAAGTGGGCATGGTGAGCTTGTGTTAAGCACAGACCTTATAGAGTGGTGCAGGAATGAGTCCTAAAACCCGGAAGTGAGTTAGCATTTGACCACTACCGGTTCCCTCGTCTCAGAATCAACGGTTTCTTGAACATGTTTTTTGAAAATATCTGTAAATAAGGTCTGTGGTTGAGACACATTGAAGAGACGGATCACGTTTTGTTCTACGACATTAAATCCATCAGCAGTGACCCCACTGGTGATTTCTGAAGAGTTGACGTGTCTGAAAAACGATGGTTGTTACCAAGTGGCTGAATAGGACTACAGAAGTCGTGGAGGACGTTGTACGTCATTACGCCGAACACGTAAACACTCCTCTAAGTTTGGTTGCCCTGTTCTGCTTGAAAGCAAGTACCTGCCTCCTGCAAACTGTTCAAACAAACGCTTCAACTTGTACTATTTTGAATCTCATCAATCAGTCGTGCGACCCTGCTGTACGCGGCTGTAGTTCCTTTATAGCATAACGTTAGCATTTTGCTTCTGGCGATTCGATTTATGATTCAAAAATGATAAAAGTAGGGCAGACATGTGGAGATTATCCGGCTGAACAAAACGTGCATTTATCTAACACAGTGGTCACCAACCTTTTTAAGCCCAAGATCCCCGACCTCGGCCTTGGTGAAAGGCGAGATCTACCTATTGCAGAATTGAGTGAAAAAGACGGCCCAGACAGTACTTCTGATTTGAGGCCTTTTATGCCGGCTAATTGCATCAAATCATTTGATGCAACTTCCCATTTCATTAAACAAAGAACACAACATAACTAACATGTCAAAAAGGATACATATATATATTCACATCATACCTATCATTTAAGTTTAATTCATTCCTTAATTACAATCCTAAATATACATGTATGTAGCTTATTTTCCATTTGTTTGAGTGAATGAGTAAATTATTTTGTTGACATCAACAACAACAAAGAAAAAAATAACATCTTGCAGTGAGCAGATAACATAAAGTGCTATTTTAACTGTGAGGCTTATCCACTGAAGCTTCATGCAAGTGCAACATTTAAGATTAACATTACAACTAGTTATTTTAACACAATTCTTACAAATAAAAAATTCTAACAACATTCTTTATCCTTGCATAGACCATTGGTGCGTTCACACCGGACGCGATGCGAATGACACGTTCGCGTGGTAGCCAATCAGTGGTGAGGATCTCAGCCTGCCATCACTGACGTTGAATCAGAAAGCTAAAACATCAGCCGTTAGCTGTTAGCACACAAAGCTCACAGCTCCTCATATCTGTTCAGAAACTGGACAAAAGTTAAACATGAACAAACCACAGACTGTCTGTGTCATGGCGAATACAGTCGCTGTTGTATCTGTGTCTGTATCATGTTGTTGTGAGTTTGGACGGAGCAGATACAGGTTAGCTTAGCCTGATCGATCCGATCTCCATTCAGAACACACTCATTTTAAAAGGTTTTTCGCCTGCCCTCTTGTCTGCAGACTTGTCAAAGCATTAATTCATGTTTTGTACTAACCGGTATCAGTATGTAGTTACTGGCAACCGGCATTATTGTGAAACGTGTATTACAATTAAATCACGGTCAAATATGTTCATTTTGTTGTAGTTGGTATACGCATGGTAAAATGCATAAGTGCATTGAGTTAAAAAATATGCAGCATCACTTGAAGTCAGTCTATTCTTTTCGGGAGCGACAGGGAATGTCTCAAAGATACGTCAATCAAGTGGCACCTGCTGTGGATGATAGGCTTACATCTAAAAACTTGATTAAAAAAAAACATTATTTTTTAACTTTTCTTTCTTTTGTTACTTTTTTTTTTTTTAACGGTGTGCGATTTACCCGCACCACACTCGCGATCGACTTGGTGACCACTGATCTAACAGGTTCGTTTTCCACAGACTTATTTTTTACAATATTCCAAAATCCTATGGAGAAATCCCGTTGCTTTTTGTCAAGGGAACCAGCAGCTTACTTCAAGGTCGGCCTACACAAATACGTCATCTCTGCACCACTATATTACAGGGATCTTGGTCTTTGGTCACATTAGCATCGCTAACACTCAGAGCTAACCTGTACTGGAGAGAGTATGTGTTAAAAAAGCAGGAAATAAAAAGGAACTCACCTTGTGGTAAACATGTGAGAGAAAAAGAGTTTGAGCTCCATACTGTTTCTGTTATAATCCTTGATGTGGTTTGGAACATGATATGGCATTCAATCACGGCAGCATTTAGCTGAGAATCTGCTGAGTTGTCAGCCTTTATCTCTGCAGCTCTGCTCCAAAGGGGGCGGGGCCAGCAGCTACAGTCAGAGAATCAGCCATTCTCTAACAGGGCTGAAATAGAGGGATATGAGGGATGTCTAAATGCAGGATCTGTTTGGTATTTTGAGCAAAACACATCATAGACTTGTTTTTTTATATATTTGTATATATCTGAGACCCATAATATATGCCTAAAAATAGCATGATAGGAGATCTTTATGATACTCCATAGGCAGTCACTTTATGTGCTGAAGAAAGTTACTTACTGTAGCATCTTACTTACTTTTTAATCACATTTCTTGTTTGTCCACTCAGGAACTGCTGCTGCAGCCTGCAGACGTAAACTCAAATCCACCCTGAAGGAGAGGTTCCAGTGTGTGTTTGAGGGCATTGCTAAAGCAGGAAACCCAACCCTTCTGAACCAGATCTACACAGAGCTCTTCATCACAGAGGGGGGGTCTGCAGAGGTCAATGATGAACATGAGGTCAGACAGATTGAAACTGCATCCAGGAAACCACACAGACCAGAAACAACCATCAGACAAGAAGACCTCTTTAAAGCGTCACCTGGAAGAGATGCACCAATCAGAGCAGTGATGACAAAGGGCGTGGCTGGCATTGGGAAAACAGTCTTAACACAGAAGTTCACTCTGGACTGGGCTGAAGGCAAAGCCAACCAGGACATTCAGTTCACATTTCCATTCACCTTCAGAGAGCTGAATGTGGTGAGAGAGAACAAGTACAGCTTGGTGGAACTTGTTCATCACTTCTTCTCTGAAACCAGAGACGCAGGAATCTGCAGGTTTGATCAGTTCCCGGTCGTGTTCATCTTTGACGGTCTGGATGAGTGTCGACTTCCTCTGGACTTCCACAACACTGAGATCCTGACTGACGTCACAGAGTCCACCTCAGTGGATGTGCTGCTGACAAACCTCATCAGGGGGAAGCTGCTTCCCTCTGCTCGCCTCTGGATAACCACACGACCTGCAGCAGCCAATCAGATCCCTCCTGAGTGTGTGGACATGGTGACAGAGGTCCGAGGGTTCACTGACCCACAGAAGGAGGAGTACTTCAGGAAGAGATTCAGAGATCAGGAGCAGGCCGGCACCATCATCTCCCACATCAAGACCTCACGAAGCCTCCACATCATGTGCCACATCCCAGTCTTCTGCTGGATCTCTGCTACAGTTCTGGAGGAGGTGTTGAAAACCAGAGAGGGAGGAGAGCTGCCCGAGACCCTGACTGAGATGTACATCCACTTCCTGGTGGTTCAGTCCAAAGTGAAGAACATCAAGTATGATGGAGGAGCTGAGACAGATCCACACTGGAGTCCAGAGAGCAGGAAGATGATGGAGTCTCTGGGGAAACTGGCTTTTGAGCAGCTGCAGAAAGGCAACCTGATCTTCTATGAGTCCGACCTGACAGAGTGTGGCATCGATATCACAGCAGCCTCAGTGTACTCAGGAGTGTTCACACAGGTCTTTAGAGAGGAGAGAGGACTGTACCAGGACAAGGTGTTCTGCTTCGTCCATCTGAGCGTTCAGGAGTTTCTGGCTGCTCTTCATGTCCACCTGACCTTCATCAACTCTGGAGTCAACCTGCTGGCAGAAGAACCAACAACCTCCCAGAAGTCTGAAGTCAAACCTACACTAACAAATCTCTACCAGAGTGCAGTGGACCAGGCCTTACAGAGTCCAAACGGACACCTGGACCTGTTCCTCCGCTTCCTCCTGGGTCTTTCTCTGCAGACCAATCAGACTCTCCTACAAGGCCTGCTGACACAGACAGAAAGCAGCTCAGGGACTAACCAGGAAACAGCCCAGTACATCAAGAAGAAGATAGAAGAGGATATGTCTCCAGAGAGAAGCATCAACCTGTTCCACTGTCTGAATGAACTGGATGATCGTTCTCTAGTGGAGCAGATCCAACAGTCCCTGAGATCAGGAAGTCTCTCCACAGATAATCTGTCTCCTGCTCAGTGGTCAGCTCTGGTCTTCATCTTACTGTCATCAGGAGAAGATCTGGACGTGTTTGACCTGAAGAAATACTCTGCTTCAGAGGAGGCTCTTCTGAGGCTGCTGCCAGTGGTCAAAGCCTCCAACAAAGCCATGTAGGTGGAAGGATGAATCGAATACAAACATCATCAAATGTGTTTATGTGTCATGGAGGAGAAATATTACTTTATTTGTTTATCTTTTTAAATCCTCTTTTAGGCTGAGTGGCTGTAAGCTATCAGAGAGAAGCTGTGAAGCTCTGTCCTCAGTCCTCAGCTCCCAGTCCTCTAGTCTGAGAGAGCTGGACCTGAGTAACAACGACCTGCAGGATTCAGGAGTGAGGCGGCTGTCTTCAGGACTGCAGAGTCCACACTGTGAGCTGGAGACTCTCAAGTCAGTATTCAAAATGTCTTTTAAAGTTTAACCCGTAAGCTTTTATTGGCTTAATGTAATTTCATTAATTTCATTGACTCACTAAAGAGCTTATTTTGACTTAAAATACTTAAATAACACTGTGTGTGTGTGTGTGTGTGTGTGTGTGTGTGTGTGTGTGTGTGTGTGTGTGTGTGTGTGTGTGTGTGTGTGTGTGTGTGTGTGTGTGTGTGTGTGTGTGTGTAGGCTCTCAGGCTGTCTGGTCACAAACAAAGGCTGTGCTTCTCTGGCCTCGGCTCTGAGCTACAACCCCTCTCATCTGAGAGAGCTGGACCTGAGCTACAATCATCCAGGAGACTCAGGAGAGAAGATGCTGTCTGTTATAAAGGAGGACCCAGAATGCAGACTGGAGACTCTCAGGTATGGTCAGACCGTCAGCATGAAGAACTTCTTGTTTCTCTTAATTCTGTTCAGAGAAGTTTTAAAGCCTGAGTAAGAAAACACACTGATCCCTTAAAATCTTATTGAATGGAAACATTTATAAGTAACATTAAAATCGAGGAAGTAAAATCATTCTCATTTTCATTATTTATCAGGGATGTGTTGGTTCTCTACTTAGGTCCTGACTATTAAATATTAACTACTAAATATATTGAAATGAAAATTCTGTTCTCGGACATTAATAGTGATCATTTGATTTTCATTCTAGAACCACCAGTAGGATCAAACGGTTTATTCCCATTCTGTCCCCTGTCCCATGCAGCCCCAACAACAGCCTCTGATTCGTCAACAGACTTCATGCAATGCTTCATGGGATGCATCATTAGATCTATAAACTCTAACCCTAACCCTAAGACACACGACCAAGCAAAACAAGTATCATTTATTATGTGGCCTAATGTAAAAAAGGGGCGAGATGGGAAGACACCGGATCAAACCTCTGTTGTTTGGGGAAATATCTGAACTTTTGTGCAACACACGAGAACACCTGTTCTTACACCTATAAGATGTTATAATGCATTAGAAACTCATCCTGACTGTGTTTCTTTCTCCAGACTGGACCATGGTGGAGAGCAGTGGTTAAAACCAGGTCTGATGAAGTGTAAGTGTGGATTCATGTTGACTTATGATGACAAAGAAGTAAACAATATCAGTACACAAAATACATAAAGCCTTCGTATGAAACTGATGATAAACTAATGCTGGATCTTTTACTCTCCATCAGATTCCTGTGAACTCACACTGGACCCAAACACAGCACACAGGAAACTCCAACTCTCTGACAGCAACAGGACGGTGACACGTGTGAGAGAGAAGCAGCCATATCCTGATCATCCAGAGAGGTTTGATTTCTTGGAACAGCTGATGTGTAGAGAAGCTCTGACTGGTCACTGTTACTGGGAGGTCGAGTGGAGCGGAGAGGTTGATATATCAGTGACTTACAGAGGAATCAGCAGCAGAGGAGGCAGGGAGGACTCTCAGTTTGGATTGAATGATCAGTCCTGGAGTCTGAGATGCTCTGATGGTGGTTACTCTGTCTGGCACAATAAGACAGTAACACACATCTCCTCCTCCTCCTCCTCCTCCTCCTCCCCCCCCCTCCTCCTCCTCCTCCTCCTCCCCCTCCTCCTCCTCCTCATCCTCCTCCTCCTCCTCTGGTAGAGTAGCAGTGTATCTGGATCATCCTGCTGGCTCTCTCTCCTTCTACAGAGTCTCCTCTGACACACTGATCCACCTCCACACCTTCAGAACCACATCCACTGAACCTCTGTATGCTGGGTTTGGGTTCATGTCAGATGACTCCTCAGTGTCTCTGTGTTCTCTGTAGGAGGAGACCACTTCCTGTCCAGTGGTCTGAATGTTGAAGATATAGGATTCACCTTGGTTAACATTTGGCTCAATGATTGTGCGTAATTGAAGAGGCATTTAGTTATTCTGCTCCATATGTCCGTGTGACAGAGATGATCTCAGGTGACATAGATCTCTTTACGCTTCATATGCTTCCTCATTGGTGAAGCACATTATTTGCATCACATCTGAACATTGGATATGCATTCCTGGGTCACAGGAAAATATAGGCAGTTATACAATAAGTAAGATTAAAAACATATGTTTCTTGTAACAAATGCAGTTTGTTAACGTTATAATTGAATTACACGTATATAGCAACACTTACGTCTGCTCTCCTGTCCGCCACTAGAATAACAACAACCTCTTTGAAGGTTCCGGGTGGGATTTAATGAGCAGGATGATGCAGGGGGGGGGGGGCTGGATAACTGCTACATTTATATCTGCTGGATTATTTAATGTTTGTTTGTTAATTTGCAGTAATGTTTGTTATTGTTGAACTTGTCTTCATCTTAATTGTAAGCACATGTCTGACTGTAGCACCCCTATCAATGGTACCTCCTAAATAGTGGGGCTATAAAAGCTCTTAGTGCCATTGTTGGGTTGGTGTAGGTTGGTGACAGTCGGTGGTATTGCAGAGTTGAATTGTCCAGAATCGTAGAGTACAGCAGGCCTGGCTATTTGCCGTTCTCTTGTAAATAGTTGTAAATATAGTGAACTGTGTAAATAAATGCCAACGCTGGCGATTGGCTGGATGTTCTGCCTCTGCCTGCTTACTGTTGGTCGACCGCTCATAGGTCAACCTAACCGTCTGAAACAATCTCCCAGTAATTGCATATTTTAATGTGTGTATAAAGTACTTTGAATTGCTTTGTTGTTGAAATTTGATGTAAAGTTAAACTTGCCTTTCCTTTGCTGGCAGAAATGTTAGATCTCTTCCTAAAATGGTGAAATGATCTCCTTGGTGTTGAGCTAGTTGTGTACAAACCAACGTGACTTATATGCACCTTAATAACGCTTTGTTTGGAGCAGCATCTAATAGCTGCTTATAATCGATGTATTCATTGTAATTAAGTTCAATAAAGGTTTGAAGACAAAAAATGTGTCAATGATCTCATGAATCCAAGTATTGCTTTTTCCATCCAACATGTTTCAAAACATGTATATAGTTTTAAATTGTTACAAAGGTCTAACCTAACGTAAAAGCTGTTAGAAGTACTTGATGCTCACTGAGATGCAGGGAAGTTACAGCCAATGAACTGCATGGTAAAATAATATATAAAACTCTTTTCCAGTCTTTGCCAACTCTACTTGTCCACCTGGAACATCAAGCAGGACACATGTTAAGTACTAAAGCTCTTTATCAGGTCTCCTCGACCCCTCAAAGCTCTTTACACCTCATTCATGCAGAGCAGCACCACTTGCTCTGGGGAAGCTAAAGGCCCGGACACACCAGCCCGATTTTGGGAGTCAGAGGCCTCAGAGGCAGTCGGGTATTCGCGGCGCCCTACTCAGGTTGGTGTGTCCCGCACCGTCGTCTCTTTACGGCACCTTTTCACACCTCCCGACGCCTCCCACGGCCCGACGCCTCCCGCGGCCGATTCAACATGTTGGGAGGTCAGAGAAAGTCGGGACAAGCAATCACTCTGTTTGGCTGTTCACACTACACACTTACCTGCTGGTAAGGACAGTTATTGCCACTCGTCGACTGAAGTATTTGCGGTGTGTTCGTAGGCGGGCGGCGTAGCCGACGCAGGCGACGAAGCTGACGTAAAAGTCGGGACGCCTTCGGTACGCGTTCTTTGGTCTCAGGTGGGTGTGTAGCGGCCTTAACACTCACACACACACTCACACTCATACACATACACACACTCACTCACACACTCACTCACACTCACACACTCTCTCACACACACACACACACGCTCACGCTCACACACACACACACACACACACACACACACACACACACACACACACACACACACACACACACTCTTGGCCATCGGGAGCAAATCAGGGTTCAGCATCAACATGTGCAGTCAGTGAGAGGAAATGAAGAAATTACAACATGTCTGATAATTAATTGGAGAGGTATTTATGAAGAGTTCCTTGTAATTGTGGCAGTTCTGTCACGATTTGTCTGTGTTGTGTTTTGTCTTGTCTAGATCTGTCTTTGGTTTCCTTTCTGTGTGTTCCCTCCTACCTGTTTTCCTGATTGTGTTCACCTGGTGCCCCTGTGTTTTCTCCTCCCTCCTCACCTGTCTCTTGTTTCTTTGATTAGTCCTGTGTGTATTTAAGTTCTGTTTTTTCTGTCTGTCTTTGTTAGATCCTTGTTTGTCGTTGACTGTGTTCACTGGGAAGAGCTTTGTATTTTTCTTGTAGCCTTTTAATAAAGGTGTTTTCTGTGAAATCTGCATTTGGGTCCTGCCTGCTTCGCTCAACCCTGACAAGTTCTTGGCATCAGTTTGATTGTAATCTGAAATCATCAGTGAAAAGTGCAGGGAGTGGCTGAACTGGTCTGACAGCTCCAATCAACTGAGGCGCTTTTATTTTAAACTCTCAGGCCCGTCAACACGGAGACAATTTCAGTTGTATCCGCTAAAGTTCTTTATCGTATAGACGGTTTGTCCACACAAAGCCGAAACAGAGCCCTCAAACGATACACTTTGATGGCTTTGAACGGCTCCCAAAGTGGGTAAGTCTGGAGACGACACGCTTGCGGCTCCGTGTGTACGCCCTATATGATCATTTCCTGAAAACAATCACGCCATAGCCCCGCCTCTCCCCACCTCTCCTGCTCACCCCCGCGTCACCCGCGTCATTGCTGATGCGTTTCGCCAACAACAACAACAATGGCGGATCACAGGGTTGCGTTTGTGCTCCAGACGCTACTGACCATGCTACAGATGTTAGTGCAAAATCTACAGCTCCTCTACCACAACCATCAGCAACAAGTGGACATGGAGAACTACCTGAACTACATGTTGCTAAATCCACCGCGGAGAATAAACAGATGGGCAACCAGGCAACCATGGCAACCATGCTCGGGGGATCTTATTCGCTGCTTTTGGTGTATTTTGTGGCGGACGTACAGCGCCACTTACTTATGTACTACAGCGTCTCCAGCGGGTCGAGCGGTCTCGTGCAGACGGACACGTTTCTTGAGCCCATTCTGTGCGGATGGAAGACTTTTTTGATATCGACATCGGTTCGTTTTCGTCTCCGTGTGGACGGGGCCTTAACCTGTTAAGCACCAAGCCTGTTTTTCATGTTTCAGGCTCGAAAATGACATGCCCAAAACAAATGACTACAACTTAACTTCTAAAAGGGTTATATGAATAATTTCTTTTATCAAAGCAAGGTTACATCTGTGAGTTGGATGTAGAAGTGTCAGAATCAATATAGATTTTTCTCAGTCAGAATAAATTCAGATGGAACATGGTAAAAAAAAGTAAATTCTTACCTCCGCCTAAAAAAAAACCATTACTTATAGTGAAAACCACCCTTGAATGATGGGATGGTAGACTAAAAGCTTTAGGAATCCAAAGTACAATATATAATAAGTACCCTGTATCGAGATTGAAACAAGTGACATTTGACCTTTTTAGCCAGGTTTAGGAGTAAGTATTTCACCTTTCCCTTATTTTCTGATTTCTGTGACTTAGTAAATGGTATGGATAAAATAAAATAGCCTATTTTAGTTTAGACCGGTCTACTAAGTATTATTTATAAGTTGTTCCTATTTTAATCTCTTTAATATCCTGAGTTAACTCTTTTTCTTTTCCCTTTTCACAGGTAAAATATATCTAATTCAATGAAAAAACACAATTGTACCATCAATGAAATCATATGACAAATGAAAACCTAGAGTACAATATATAGTGTCTCTTTCAATCCAGGTACAACTTAAATCCAGTTCCAACCTTATAATTTCTTCAGTTCTGATCAAATAAAAGAAACTCCAACACTCCTACCACTCTGGCAGCGAGTTCACCTATTGTCTCTTGAGAAACCAGCAAGTCCTCTCACTGGCGCGAAGATCAAAGCAGTCCGTGGGTCTGGCTTGCCATCTTGTATCAGAGCACATGTGTGTTGTCCTCTCACTGGCGCAGCACAACTCGATCGATCAACTTTCTTATCCAGTCCAAAAAACCTGACCTGTACGACAGGTCATGAAAGAATATAAATATAATATAAACTAACAATATAAATGATATAATTACATTTTCAAAACTACTGTAAACTTAGCTCTTTTGTCAATACAGCTTACAATGAGGCTCAAAATGGCAGCTTTACTCTCCTCTAATTGTTTCATTTATCCTGTTCACACAAAATAACACACATTTCCCCTTGTAAAACACACATTAAAGCCACATAGTTTCAGCCAAAGAAAATAACAAATACATGACGTTGCAAGCCATGTTCATAGCTTCCCTTACAGCTCAACAACATGAAATGCTAACAATGAAGCTAACATTATTCACTCTTACAAAACGTTTCCATGAAAAGGTTTGACTCACCAAAACACCGTTGGTTAATGTTCTATACCGTCTACTGGGTTTCCCGACCGTGTGGATGGTATTTTTATCTTTTTAAAATAAACTTTGAATCACTTTTAATATAATTGTACTCGGCTGGTCTCATCTGCTTCTTGCTCCGTTTTTTCTCTCTTTACTCCTGCTACGCTACGCTACGAGCAGAGATCCTTAAAGGAACAGTATACCTTGTCATTTGTCATACTACTTTTATTTATTATATTTTTAAAGGATGATATCATTGACCAATTTTAAACGTGTATCTTTAAATGAAATAACTTTTTAATGACTTTATGCTTACTATGTTTTAATGTGGGTTACACTTACTTATGGCGCGTTTCCACTACAGCCCGCAGCCCGGTTTAAGAGGGCTGTGACGTCAGCGGCCCGTTTGTGGTTGCGTTTCCACTTGGCCTAGTACCGGCCGGCGGGTCCTAATTCACAGTTTTTCTGGCCTCATAAAATCGTGGGGCCAGGGCCAAAGACAACCGGGCTGAGTTTGTGACGTCAACGCTCTCGGCTGCTGATTGGTCGGAGAGAATCGTCACAATCTGCGCGCTAGATAATCCATTTTTACAAACAGCATTTTTGTTAACAGAGGAGCTACAACAATGGCAAAGAAAAGCACACCATGGTCGGTCGAGGAAGTGACGACGTCCATTATATTGCAGATGATAAGGTCCAGCGGGTGCTCGACGGGACAACTCGCAATATCAAAGTCTTTCAGGAGGTCTCTACACAGACACTGGCATTACTGGAGTCTGCATGGTACGTTTTTGCTAACGCTCTGTTATTTTCTTGAAAGCTTTGTGTCCCTATCTGTTCTAAAGCTCACTTCTAACAAATAAGTCTATTTTATCCTTACATTTATGTTCGACAACCCATGATTTTATGTAGCCCCGAAGGCTAGCTAGGCAGATAGCATTAGCGAGAGCTATTGTTTGCTAACACCATATGTGCCATTGTTTACGTTCAGTTTGTCTTTTCTATAGTTGTTGTTGCTATTTATAGTATTGTGCTGCAGTAGTTTGTGGAATTTACAAGTCATGTTTCTGTTCTAGATGATTACATTGGGACTAGCGAGGAGGAACAGTTCCCAACAACGTCCTCTGCATCAACAGCACAAACCGAGGAGGAGACGATCTGGCCCTGCAGGAACGGCAACTGGCCCAGCAGAATCAATGCCATGTCTTATCTTATTGCTTGTTGATAAATAAT